CAAAAGTGCGACAAAACAACTCAGTCCTCAAGCCTAAGCTGAAGGCGCGATCCGAACAATCAGTCCTATAACCCTAAATCTCCACAACCCCCTGAGCACCGCCCCCAAACCCCTAGCCCCAAGCATCAACGCTAAAGCTGAAGCCTCAACCCGCTCAACGCCACATCCAGCTCCAAAGCACAAGCCACATGAGAAATGACCGCCTGAAGCACCTAAAGCTCTCATCGCCTTTTCCTCGTTGGACCAGCCGAGCGGCCCTGCAACCTTGAGCTGGATCCCTCAACCCAGCTCCAAACCAAACCCTAGACCCCAAGGACTCTAAACACTGAAGCCTAAACCCTAAACAGCGCCATGAGTGGGGTCTTGTGTGTTTTCTGGCATGGCTTTTCAGGCAAAAAGGGGCTTGCAGCAAGACCTGGCCGGAAGGCTTTCTACCTAACTGCCAGGTGGAAAAAGGTCTGATACAAAACTTCAAACATGAGACCCAAACTACCTCCGAACCCTGAGAAATCAAAGTGTCAATGGACGTTTTTGCCGAGACGTTTTTGTTGAGCAAATTAGCTTCTGGCAAAAGTCGCAAGCTACCCCAAGAAGGGGTCACACATGACCCAGCATCCGAGAAGCGGGAGAAGCCGCAAGTGACCCCCCTCCCTTCCTGGAAAGATCTAGGGAAGGCTTCGGCTGTCAGCCTGCTTTCTGCTCTACATTCGAGTTTTTGTACATTACCATGATTCGTGCATCAGGACTGTGATCAGGAGCTGTCATGTAGACTATATAGATTCAATGCAGTAGCAAAGCTTAATTCGCAGCCGGGTACAAGATTAGGCGCAGGGTTTGTGGGTGAAGGCTCACGCCCTTGCCAGGAACCCTGGTGCACATTATTGGTGCACCCCCTGGTCCCTTTTACCAGTGACAGCACCTCCTCACGAACCTCGTATGACGCCGCAGGAGGCAGTGGTATAAGAGGGAGGCGGCAGACAATCAGAATTGTCCAGTAGTATAATGTAGGTCACAAGGTGTTGGGCTGCGCTTGCACTCCAAGCGGATTACTTGTAAGACTTTGTTGGAACCGCCAGGATCTGCTTTCCTCCCTGGTTCCTGCCCGCGGGAATCCTCAGCCCGGAGCAAAACGATTGCAGAAACGTCCTTCATACAAAAGGGTGCAAAAGCTCTTTGCATGAACAGCTGGTTGCCATCATGAAACGAAAACAAAAAACATCGAGCACATGCCACAACTGCCGACATCTAAGGAGAAGAGAATGAAAGCGTGGACCTCCCAGCCAAGTGATTTTGGCCTTCTCTAGTGCAGTCATCTGAAGATGGGAACGCCTGTCTCTGTGTTCAGCTACATGGCCAATGATCGCACGTATGAAAAGTTCCCTCCGAGGATTGTGGTTTCCGGCAAATGGAGGAAACTGGCCAGATCCAAAGATTTAAAGATTTCATGCACTTCCTCAGCATCAAGATTTAATTTCTGCAGCTCCAAACACCTAGCATTCAAAGGCGGAGGGCATGAGACGCTTGGTGCGGGAGCAGGACATGGTGGGGCACTTGATTTTTGTGATTATTTCCTGAGTGAGTATGCTACATGTTAGCTTTGTGTGCCGCTGCTGTGTCCTGGTGAGCCAACGAGAGTATAACGCGATCTGCAGAGCCTTTGCCCGCTCACGAGCCATGATGACCCAGAGCCCTGGCGATGTGACGGAATGGTTCGAGTTGGTGCCGCACTTGCTGTCAGAGCCAGAATGGGAGGTCTCGGAGCGCAGGGGGCAGTCGAGCCTCTTCCATTGTCGATGTCCCTGGGGGGGACGCCTGCTGAGGTTCACCCTTGGTGGCATCCAAGTGGAGAATGCAGACACCAGCAATCTGCTGCTGAGGCCAGAGACCCGCGCAGAGAACGAAGTGCTTGGGGGTTGCTTGGAGCTGTTAGAGCAGCTGGCACCAGGAGATGCAGTGCTGAGGCAGCCGGCCTCCTGGGGATTGCTGCAGCTGTGCAGCTTAGTGTTCGGCAACACCGGGAAGTCTGACATCGGCCTGTCCGAACCTTCCGCCCCAATCATCAGCCGGCAGAGGCTATGCCGTGCTTGGCCAGCAAGCGAAGACACCACTCTAATGATCTCCAGAGGGGAGGGTGACCCGGCAGATGCCTTGCTCATCTGCCGGCCACAAGCAGCCGACCGCGTTGGTGTCACAGGCGTCTTTAGCGTCTCGCAGGAGAAGTTTGATCAGTGGATGTCGACACACCACGGCCTTCTGCTGGAGTCAGCTGTGCGGACGGCCACATGGTTCTTGAACCGGCCAGGAATTGTGCAGTTGCGAGCCATAGATGCAAACCTCTACACTGTCCTAAGCATCCACAGCTGCAAGCGAGGCCCACCCCTCCTGCCTCTACCGCCCGCCTCGACTGAAAAGCCTTGCGTCGTTATCAAGACGGACGAGAGGAGTCAGCTGGGTGCTTGGACGCGCGTCCCCATGAATCCTGATGGCAAGTTTCGTCTAGTAAGCTTCGTGAAGCATTTCGCAGCAAATCTGGGTATCAGTTTGGAAGCCTACAGTGAGTTGGATGGACGTAGGCTGGTGCATTACCAGTGCGTGGTCAGGCGCGATGCGTGGGAGCAGATTAGAGGGCAGTTTCAGGAGGCTTTCCTGGTGCAAAAGCGTGCCTACCGTCGCGCCAACGGCGGATCATGTGCTCCCTGCCTAGTGGCGGATGCGGAGCTTCGACTTGCCCCAGATGATCGACGTGCTGAAGCAGGTAAGCAGATCCAACTTGTCCAGTGCAAGAAGGCGCAGCACAGGACGGTCGTGCGACGCACCTTTATAGAGGTTACAAGTGATGAAGACAGCACTGAGGATGAATTGGAGCTAGTTCGAGAGCGGTCCAACCGCCGAGCCAGAACTTTCCCAGCACGCATGCAACAGTCGTCTGATTCTTCTGAGGATGAGTGAGGGAAGCTGACGTCTGCCTAAACACATGGAATTCGTGTCAGACAAGGCATGGTTTTCTTCGTTGGGCACTGCCCGCACGCCTGCACTCTGGCCCCTACAGTTGCTACTTGTGCCGGCGAGCAGCCTGACAGTCGCTGCACCTGTACAGATTGACTGTTGTCGTCAACCTTCAGGCAACAGGTTTTTCCATCCCCGGCTAAAGAGTCAGTGGAGGGATGAGAATGCTAGGGCAGAACCATGCCCTTTAATCTTGTGCAAGCCTTGTGCGGCTGATGTACTCCTGCTGCCTCAGCATCAGTTGCTGCGGCAATCGGTAGGGAAAAGGACAAGTCCACAGCTGCCACAGCAGAGAATGCTTTGCCTGGACATGTCCGCATTTGAGCAGAAGTTGAACCATTGCTGCCGTGGCCTTGCAATCTTGAAGATCTGTCACAAGACACAGCCCAGCAACTGCAAAGCACTGAGGACGACATTGAGGCTGAGAACGAAGAGTTGAAGGCTCGCTGCTTATGATGCAACTTACATCAAAGGGCATGCCAAAGAGGTGTAGGCAGGGTGTAAGTCCAAGCTGAGATATGAGACCGAGACCTCCACTGAAGGATGGAAAGTTGTGAAGTCGGATGTGTTTGCAGGAGCGAGTGCTGCACCTAGAGGAGCGGCTGAAGCAGGCATTTCCTCTTTTGTGGACTTTTTCTGACCTGGTCTTGACGTCTTTATTGATCTTATTGATATGAAGTGCTGCAGGCCCGTGCAGAAGCTCATCGCCTGCAGTTGCAGGCGCAGGCAGGCTGGGGGAAGACCCGTAGTGGTAACCAGCAAAATGAGGTGCAAAATTGTTGGGGCATGCCATTCCTGACTCCGAAGAGGAGAGCCTTGGCGTCCAGAACAGCTACAAAGATGCCTTGATACATGCCTCGGACCCAGACCTCAGCATCACCCTGGGCTGAAAACGTTCCTTCCCTGAGTTGTCCAGGGTGGTACTGGTATGTGCAAGTGCAAGCTCCGGGCTTACACTGCAAGAGCGATGTCTTGTTCCAAGCAGACCCAGGCGCAACAGCAAGTGGAAACCGCTCAGATGGAGACGGACATCCAACGCCGCAGGGTGGCGGATCTGCAGGACCAGGGAAGGCTTTTGTGGGTGCTAAGCTGAGGTGGAAGCAGGCTGTGGTTGTGCAGCACCATGTGTGATAGCTTACCCTTCACATGTGTTGACTAGCTTTGACCTGTTTGTGCTGGCGTTGGCTCCCCCTTTCCTACTAGTAGACTCTCCGCGCCCTCGGCTCTCGCTCCAAGCCATGCAATTCACCCAGCCACAAGACGTAGTTTCCCGCAAAACCTTTGGTCCTGCCAAAGTGGATGTCCACTTTGGAGCCAAGCGATGAAAGACCATGAGAGACCAATCAGCTATGCAGTGCCGGTACAATGTTGGGGTTGCTGAGCAGGCCTCGATTGCAGGGTTCTGCAAGCTATGCGAGCCCTGTCGTTGAGAGCTGCTTGACTTCACAGGAAATGCTGGAGCAGATGGAGCTGGAGCTCAGCTTTGCCCGGGCCTGGGCGTTGTACAAGCCTTGTCAATGAATGTAGAGCAAGAAGATTGGGCATTGGTTGGAACACCTTCACAGGTAAGCAACCGCTTTTGCGAGTTTAGACGGGACAGGTTCTACAAGTGGCGTCGCCAACATCAAAGCTCGAGGGTTTTAGATGATAATCGATAGAAGATATTGTGAACGTGATCCCAGGCCAGGCAACTGCCTACTCTTTCAGGATTTCCGTTGAGACTTTGCCTGCATGCAGCTACACATGATATTGATAATTTAGGGCATGCCGTAGGCACTTGCATGTTGATCAAGCATCCACTTGTGGCATTGCATGCGGCCATTTCGGCCCATACTGCCCTTGAGCTGATATCTTAGCACGCTGTGTAAAAAAGGCGTTCGGCACATGTGCATTGTGTGGTCTTGAGCTGACCTCCATCAGTTGGCACCGGAGCCTGTGTGCTGCTGCTTTCCTCCTCGGCGACCTCTTGCCGATTCTCGTCTTCTCCTTCGGTGATGCCGCGCATTCCCGAGATCTTCCCCCTGGATAGGGACGACGACGCTCAGGACTTTGTTGGCGAGCACCCCGCGGCAGAGGACGAGATCCCTGATGACCATGTTGGTCGGGACCCTTGGCTCGAGGCGCTCGAGAGGGAGGCGGCTGAACATGTGATCCAGGGCAACCCCAGCGAGTGGCGATGCGTTCGCTGCGACTCCAACATGGCGGTGCAGACGGGATTGGCGCAATGGACCTGCACCACTTGCAGCGGCAGCGAGTTCTACAAGACAGATCGTGCGCTCCGACGTCAGACGGACATCGGCACTTGGATGTTCTTGCCTAGGCCTCCGAATGGACCACCGCCTCGGCGACCTCCTTACGATGTTTCGAACGGACAAGGTGACGCTGATCCAATGCCGACCGCTCCGATCTCCAGGAGACAGCGACAACGCCTGAGCCGAGCTCTGAGGCGCGGCCGCAAACCTCCTGTCGATGCTTTGAGATCCCAGAGTCCGAGGACCCCCACCTACGACCCGACCGTCGACCCCGATGCCGAGCTCCCAGGTCAACGTCCTGTTCTTCAGCCAGACCGCCCGACATGGAGACCTACGGCTCGACCGACTTCGTGCCCGGCTACTCCACCGACGGCGTCCTCGCAAAAGCCCAAGCAGAGAGCCAAGCAGGGCAAGCAGGCAGCCCGAGCGCAGACGGACACCAAAGAGGTGATGACGTCTCAAGCCCCTGCTTCCTCGTCCTCGGCGCCTTCATGGAATTCCTTGATGGGGCCATCGCGTGGCGTGAGGTGGAGGGGAGGCACTTAGTCCTGTACACGAGCCTGACCGGGGAGGCGGAGCCGGAGTTGGAGCACGCCCCCATCGAGGCCATCAATTCCGACAAGGGGATAGATTTTATACTGGAAACTCTGAGACAGCCAATGGAGCAGAAGCAGATTTTCCAGAAGCACAAATTCTTATCGGATTTTGAGGGCATCCAGCGTCAGCCGGGCGAGGGGCTCAAGGCCTTCAGCAATCGGTACCGACGCATTGAACGCAACCTCAAAGTGCTGGTCGGCAGCCGCTATTCCCTCGCCTTTGAAGACGTGGCGGAAAGTATGGCCATGCAGTTCCCCGACTTCAAGGGTGCCCCGCCGGTCATTGGTCGAGATGGGCAGCCAATAAGTCGACACAAGGGGGGCGGCAAGGGCCAGGCACCGACTTCGTCAGGCCACGCCGGCAAAGGTGGCGGCAGCAAGCGCGGCGGCTTCACCAAGAAGGTCTATGTGGCCGAGCAGGCTGACGAAGGGCAAGCAGACCAAGAGCCACAGTCTGCCGAGGGCGCCGGCGAGGACGACAACAACAACGACGACCATGCCGACCACGAGGATGGCGGCGACGACGAGGGCGAGCTCGACAACGAGGAGGCCCCGGACTTGGCTGAGGTGGCGGAGGTTTTGAGCGTTACAGCTCGCAAGCTCGCCGGGATGAAGCTTGGACGCAAATTCTCTGGGGTCCCCGAAAGGACGACCAATTGCGTGGCATGCGGGGAAAAGGGGCACTGGAAAGGCGACCCCCAGTGTCCAGTGTCTGGGAAAGGGGCAGCGGCGCAGTCTGGCGCAGGAAATAAGGGGCAAGACAGCTCCGGGAAAGGGGCCAAGAAAGGGGCACACCAGACATACATGGTGCGCCATGCGGACCACGGCTCCATCGAGGTGACCGACGACGTCGCCTATGGCGCGATGTTCACCGTAAACGTGGTCTTCGACGTGCGGCGCGCTCCTGGCGGCGACCTCGGCTTCCCGGATATGATGATCCTGGACACGGCCTGCCAGCGCACCTGTTGCGGAGTGAACTGGGCGAGTGCACACACCTCAAGCCTGCGAGGGACCTTCAAGTGTACAGGGCTTCCTGCTCAGACGCTTTTCAGTTTGGTAGCGGCGACCCCGTCAAGGCCCGCCGTCGTTTGTACATGCCGGCGGGCATCGGGCAAGCTGACTTGATCATCGGAGCCGGGGTGCTTGAGGCAAACGTTCCCCTTCTTGCTTCCAACGTCTTGCTTGAGAACTTGGGGATGGTGCTTGACATGCCTAGGTCATCTGCAACCTTTGCCACGCTTGGAGTTACAGTGCCTGTGTTCCGTGTGAATGGACATCTAGCTATCTCTGTGGTCCAGTTTAGCACGACAGATGCATCTGAGGGCACTAGTTGGAAAGCACTGCAAGAGTCCGTGGATTGGAGCGACCCTCCTCCAGAGCTTGTACTTTTGGCCCGAGACGTGGCCGACATCGTTCCTGCCCCAGCATCGGCGCCTCATGCTGCAGCCTCCACCGTCATGGATGCGCAACTGGCGCCGCCTGGTGCACTCGCTTCGAACCTTCAAGCGGATGGTGTTCATCTACATGGCCCGGGCGGTGAACCTCGGCCTCGTGACGACCGAGATCTACCTCAACGTGCCCCCGGCCATGGACGCCCGCTTCGAACATCCTCCATCGACGCGCCGGCGCCCCGACTATGTCCGGTACGGCAACGCGTACGGCAAGTTTGCTCGGTGCAAGCAGTGTCTCAAGAGGTGGAGGTGGAAGGCAGACCGCGCCGTCTGGATCGAGCGCCCCGACAGCAAGTTCGACACTTCGCTGCTCAATTCGCGACCGCCTTTGCCCTCCTCCTCCAACACTGTGTCGGCGCAGGCGGCCCAGCCGGCGGAACCATTGACCCGGAGATCTTCTACCAAGCCGGCGGGAGCGACTACCAAGGCGGCAGCTTCGCGGAGGCGCCGGGCGACACGTTCAGCGGCCAGCGGCTCGGACATGTCGGACGCATGGAACCTTCTGAACAACCCCCTGCCGCCTCCAGAGAGCGACTACGACTGGGACGAAGAAGACGTCTAGCTGGAGACTGGAAAAGGTCGGCCGGCACCTTGGAACAGGAGAGGGTGATCTACGACAGCCTTCCGGTGACGGCGCAACGACCGCCACCATGCGTGGACATCATGGAGCTCTTTGCCGGAGAAGCAGGGATAACCTCACGAGCTTCGAGCTTTGGGCTTTCGGCTTCCGAACCCATCGACCAGGTCTATGGCTGGCACCTTGAAGAGCTCGAGACCCAGAGCTACGTCATCAACATGATCAAGCGACTTCGCCCACATGTTCTTCACGTGGCCTACCCGTGCACCCTGTACTCCATCTTTAACGAGAACTTCACAACTACAGCAAGCGCATGCATGTTCTCCATCAGCTTCGTAAGGATGACATGGAGATGCGCCGCCTTATCAGGGAGCTTCTGGACCTCCAACTTGGATCTGGACGCGCCTTCGTGCTGGCAGCAGTCACGACTTTGAAAGATGGATGAGTTTGCGGACCTGAAGGACCACCCGGGCATCGTGGAGTGCGTTGTCGACTCAGGCGCTTATGGCGGCAAGACGGCGGACGGGGAGCCCATCATTAAGCCCTTTAAGTTCCTCACCAACATCCCCGGCGCGGCCTCAGTACTTTGCAAGCGGCTTTCGGAAGTGGAGCGCATGTACACCGTGACCGTGCAGGGCAAGAACACGCGACCTTCCCAGGTGTATCCCCCGAAATTGGTGGATGAGCTCCTTGGCCTGTACCGCGCCTACGTCCGCAGCATCGACATCACGCGCGTGGCCACGTATCAGGCCCTTCCGGTCTACCAAAATCCGGTCACCGACCTGGCCGCCTGGGACCCCATCATCGTGACAATGCTCGAGCGATCCTTCGGCGCCAGCGACCTGTCTACATCGACTCGGACAGCGACGTGGGGAAGATCATTGCGGACCTCTTCCGGATGAACTTGACGCGCGTCCAGTGCGTCCAGACACCCGCTCAGCGTCTGGACAAGAACTACTTGCTGCGGCATCCTCCTGAGCGCCGGACATTTAGATGTCACAAACACAGGTGTCGGAAACTGTGAACAACAACACCTACGTGTACGCAAGACTTGGAGATGTTGGCCAAGGAGCTCGACGTGGAAGCTCGATTCCGAGGACCCCAAGGCGGAGCCGTTCTCCTGCTCCGGCTGCCTCGTCTTCACTCCGTGCCCTACCTCCAGGACAACCAGCGCCACCAGAGGAACCTCCTCGACATCAAGCGCTACACGACCGTCCTCTACTTGAAGGACAACCACCAGAAGCACCAGCACCACCTGCGCCGGACCTTCTGCAAGACGCCCCAGAACATGGACAACCTCTCCCTCAAGAGGAAAGGCGCTGGCTCCCAGCTACAAGATGGACAGCAAGAGCCGACGCCTGGAGGTGAAGTTGTTGACGTGGACCAAGAACTTCCTTCAGATGTTCTCGACTACGCGCCGTCGCCAGAGCAAGAGGCTGGACTACATGTAGCTACCCACTCCGGCCTCCTTGGACTTTGGGGCAACCACTTCCCCCCTCTGGCGAACCGAGCTCTCGAGCTCCGACCGCACCTGTGACAAGCTCAGCTTCTTCTGCCCCACCTTCGGGAGGACTACTGCCAGCGAAGCGACCCTTTGAGGCGATGACGACCCTGTTCTTTGCGGACGGCGTTCTTCATCACCTACCGCCTGGCCAAGTGCCCCACGAGTTCTACGGCCCTGCTTGTGACAAGTTCTACCAGGCCCACCTCTCCTCGGACTACCGGAAAGACGACGTCCTCAACACCGACAAGCCACGAGAAGAGGTCGACACCTCCGACTCGGACTGGGGAGACGAACCTCCAGCTTCAAGGACAGGCGGGTCGCGCCAGGGCATGACTCGTGTGGAACTCAAGGCCTTGGATCGGGAGGTTTTTGGAGGAAAATCCTTGAGATGTCACAGGCGGACATCGAGGCCTACAAGGCATCTGTCGTGAAGGAGCACGACTCCTGGATGGAGTGGAAGTCGGTCAAGGCGCTCACTCACAAAGAGGCGCAAGCCGTGCTTCGAGACAAGATTTTGCGCAAACGGATTCTCCGCGCAAGGAGTTGTTTCCGTGATAAAGCTAAAGGGCTTGGAGCTCTGCGCGCCAAATGCCGCGTTGTCGCCCTTGGCCACAACGACCCAGACGTCTTCAGGTTGAACCGCGAGTGCCCCACACCTAACCGCACCAGCGAGCACGTCCTCTTCCTGATCTTGACCGCCGGAAGCAACAGAGAGTTCGCCAACACCGGCAAGAAATGGTTTGGATGGACAGGTGACGCCTCGACAGCCCGAAGAAGAACGACTTCCTTTGTTCCTCCGCCCTCCGGACGACGGGCTGACTCGGGCAACTGGTTGCTGGACGGCCCCTCTCTACCTCGTCCAGACAAACGTCTATGGGCTGGCGAACGCTCCCAGGCTGTGGGCGATCACAGTCATCAAGCGGTTGAAGTCCCTGGGATATCGGCAACACAGCTTTGACCGTATGGTCTTTCTCTTGTTCAACTCCTCCGGAGAGCTCCTGTCAATCATCATCGTCTACGTGGACGACTTCCTCGGCGTCCACCGTGAAGATTACGATGTCAAACCAGTCTGGGACGCCTTCCGGTGGGGAGCCCTCGACCACATCGAGGTGGACAAGCAGTTCACGTATCGTCATCGAGGACGTTCCACTCAACCGGGGCAGCATCCTCATTACCTACAGCGACGCTTCGTGGGCTAATGCCGAGAAGTGCCGTTCTCAGTGTGGAGTTCTGGTTCTGCTGACGACGCCCAATGCTCTTCAGAACTCAGAAGACCTCCCCTGCGGCAGTCCTCGATTGGCGGTCTAGTCGTTCGACAAGGGTGTGCAGGTCTACTCTGGCGGCCGAGGCATGCGCCGCAGACGACGCCTGCGACCGCGGCTCCTACGTCAACTTGTTCTTGGGCGAGATCCTGTATAATGTGCCTGCCCACCGCTGCCAAAACAAGCTCCTTCACCTCCACGTGGTGGACGCCAAGTCCTTGTACGACGTCGTCCTCTCCGAGACTCCGAACCTGACGGACAAGAGGTCGTTGGTTAACGTGAGGGCCATCCAGGAAGTGATTAGTGGCGAGCAGATGCGGTGGGTGCCCACGCACTTGCAGTGGGCAGACGGGCTCACTAAGCAGAGCGAAGAGCTGCAGATCAAGACGCATCTGTGGCTTCAAAGTCCACATGTGATACTGCGGGAGGATGCTTGAATCAATAAGAAAACTTTACCCGTGATAATTTAGGGCATGCCGTAGGCACTTGCACGTTGATCAAGCATCCACTTGTGGCATCGCATGCGGCCATTTCGGCCCATAGGGCCCTTGAGCTGATATCTTAGCACGCTGTGTAAAAAAGGCGTTCGGCACATGTGCATTGTGTGGTCTTGAGCTGACCTCCATCAGAGATATGGATTGATTGACTTAAGAATCCAAAAGCAATGCCCTTCACAAGGATTGCTCCCATGCACGTCAACACTTCTTGGCACGATGCCTCTGATTGGCTGCAAATTCCAGAGGGACGGTGCCTCCGACATGCTCCGATCCTCGTGCACGTCTTGCGAACGTCTTGCGGCCGCCTCGCGGACGCTTGCGGACGCAAATGCATATTGAACTACTTACCCAAGACTTAAAACGAGAGCTCTTCTCGTATGCATGCGGAAAATGCACTTAGCATTTTTTTCGAAGTTACGGTGAGGAAGAGCAGGAGGGTAACCATAGCAACAGCGTCAATAAAGGCCATTGCGGCTGGAGCAAGAACACTCACAAAAATAGTGCCAATAACCAATACCAAGACCATTCACGATACAGATATAGGAGTAGTAGTTGCAGTTGTTGTTGTAGTCGCAGTCGTAGTTGCAGTCATAGTCGGAGTCATCGATGATGTGGTGGTGGTAGTAGTAGTAGTAGTCGTCATCATCGTCGTCGTCGTGTAATGGTAATGGTAGTGGAAGTGGTGGTACTAGTAGTACTGGTAGCCGCCCCCCCTAGGCACTATTTTTTACTTAAATTTAGATTTAAATTTCAGGAGGAGGCGGCCAATACCACCAGTAGTAGTGGAAATGCCCGGAATGTTGCCCGGACCTAGCAGGCGTGGGTTAA